CGCTGAAAGAATTGAACGCTCGATAGGATCTTTTGTCGCACCAAGAACAGTAACTAAATATAATTCAGGAAAAATGTAATATAGAAATCCCCCAAAACGGACTTGAAAAAATAATATTTGAATTTTTTTTAATATAAAAAAATAAAATAAAATAAAATAATTTTTTTTTCCAAGCAGTTACACAATACAACTCCTAAGTAATTTCTAGATCTAGAAGACGTCCCTCGATGAGGAAGGGAAGATGAGATTGAACACCGACAGGCAACAGAAAGCAAAGATAAATAATGTATCAATTGTAGTCGGGAAAAAATCATTCGAAAACGCATTGTCCAATTACCAAATGGGGTTAATGTATCATTTGATTGGCATATAAAAAAGACTTTTACAAAAAAAATCTTGCACCTTCGGAGGAATGGGAGAATTAGGACGGTCTCAATGACTTGACAGCTAGATCGGAAAATTGTTTTTCGAATTTATTCAAACAGGGTTTGGTTACATACTGTAATACGGCAAAAAAAAAATTTTTTTCTTAAAAATAATAATAAATTTGAGAAACGTGTGATACTCGTTCTTTTTCGACATGATCTTTTACCGCATTATCTATTATTCCACCAACAGCTTTAAAATCGCATACAAAATGCTGTCTACCATTATCCCATTTAACGATCTCAAACCATTGACCGGTTCGAATCAAGCGAATAACCTTTTTTTAAACACATGCAGAATTTGCTTTGATATACAAACTTTAAAAAAAAAAAAATCCCCCATACGATAAATTGCTATTTTTTCAAACTAATTAAATGTGACACCATCGATTTTTATTGGTCAATTAAAATAAACTGCATCATCATCGCTACTATATAATGATTAGCTAATAATCTTTTATAAATATAATCTTACCCATTACCCATTAATTAGGTTGCATAACGTTAACTAAAAAAAGAGATGCATTCGACATTAGAATTTTCCTTGGGATGATGTCATGATGGCTGGGTTATACAGTGTGTGTAGTGTAACATCGCACATTTGTCAGTGGCTGATTAAAAAATTGTTTATGGATTGTCCAATGTGCCAAACCTAGCCACAAATTTTCGTATTTGGTTTGGCCGGAAAATGGGTAAGGACTTTTTTAACAAAGCGGCAACATATGATTTAAGTAACCATTGATGAAGACACATTGTCCTGAAAAAAAATTGTTGTTACCACCTTGCAATTTTACGTTATCTCATTTTCCGCATTTTCTTTCCCTGATGGAGTAAGATACTGCATGATGGATTACACACACATTCTTTAAAGCAACTATTTTCCACACCTGCAATAACCAACAAGCGAACTGACGAAACTTTACAGACGGCCAAGATAGATGACATAAAAGGGAATTATTGTTCTTCCTCCTTTTGGTAATTAAAATATTTCTTGTTCTGAAATAATCAATTTAAAAATAGTACTCACCAGAGTTGGCAATAATGACTAACAAAATTAACGTATAGAATGAATGGATATTATGCACGACGTGCATCCCGATTTCCATCCCTTGCGACGGCGGTAGGGACAATTGAAATAACGCCCCACCTTGTTTATTTATTTACGGTAAATCAAACATCAATCACACACATAAAAAATAAAGCGATCACTCGGTGAATATAAATAATCCACCTGTGAGACCAATTTTTTTTTTTCCATGTAACAGGACAACGAAAACGTCAAAATTTCATGATGCAAAGATGACGTCAAGAAACGAATATTGTCCTCTGTTAAAGTTTATGATTAATGTGTTCAACCCTAAAGCAACCAAGAAAACTCCTTCTAATCTCGTGATTCCCACCCTCCCAACAGAATGTATGCAACAAATCTTTAAAAATATTGTTGATCAAGGCGAGTCGTTGTACCCTTTCCTCTTGGTAAATCGATATTGGTGTAAGAATGTGGTGCCACTCTTGTGGTCGGAACCATTTGAAAATTTGCTGCCAGAGAATCGATTTAAGATTGTGTGCGTCTACCTGAGCTCCCTCGATGAACAAGAACGATTGGAATTAAATTCCTCGTTGAAACCTTATGACATTCACATACCAAAAAAGGAAACTCCCCTATTTCATTATCCTGTTTTATTAAAGAAATTTTCATTCAAGGATTTGGAGATGATTGTTCATTCATTCGTTTACAGTCGAAGCTGCGATCGCTGCACAGCTAAAGATTTGGATGATCAAATGACCATCATTACCTCATCCTTGTGTAGGCTATTCTTAAGAAATTCTTCCAGTCTAAGATCATTCAAGCTTGACAAATTTTTAAGTCATTCCGATATACCAGAATGTGGTAGAATTCTTGATTCCTCCTCTTGGGAATCAAGCTTATCAAACATCTCAACCCTGGAGATCGATTACGCATCAACTCCAATTATGAAGAACTCCATTCATATCTTAAAAATTATCGCAAAGCTGTGTAAACAGATTCGAATATTGGACGTTAAAGTCCAACCATACGTGGATGTTAATCACGAGATCACAGAAGGAATTGCCAATATTATACGGTCACAGGCGGGTCTGAAGGAATTTAGTTTGGACGGAGTTGACAAGGAGGAGTCAAGTGAGATAATATTGGCGTTGCGAACCCAGGCTCCGACTTTAACAGCAATCAAATTTGAGAATGTCATTATGACCACAACCTCCTTACTCTCTCTCACGCATTGCGCCAACCTCAAATCCCTGTCCATACTAAATTGTCGAGGACTGACGATCGACGATAACAACGATAATTTTTGGAATAAAATTAAATTCAACCTGACAAAATTATACATCGCCAATTCACCGAGAAATCCGAGAATTCCCGCACAAATTATAAATTCTTCTGGCGGAGAAACGCTGAATGAACTAACTTTCGACGTGATAACCCCCGAAACAGTCGACGCAACAATAAAAAATTGTCCGAAAATTACAAACCTGACTTTACTCAACTATCAACCCCGACAACACAATCTGCTCCTGAATTCTTTATTCCAAAATCTAGTTCACATCACCCATCTCACGCTGCACTTGAGCCACAAGAGTAAAAGTTTTGAGAATATGATCATCCCGGGAAAAAGTTTACCACCAAATTTGGAATACCTGAAGCTGAAATGTGGATTTACCACCGTGCAATTGGATGGGTTGTTGAACGACTGCGGCGAGAATGCCAAGTTGAAAGTCTTGATCATTGACTTTATGAAAGCTTTGCATTTGGATCTGAAGGTGATCTTGAAATTCGTAAAATGCAGGCGGACGTTGAGATATTTGGGAATCGGCGGAGCCGCGGGGTGGAGTGGTGAAGAGATGAAAGAATTGGAGGGATTGAAAGAGAAATTTGGTGTGCAGGTAATACCTTGGCACGAGGTTGACAAATGGTAATCATTTATGTAAAAAAAAAAAAAAAAAAATTTAAAAAAAAATTTAAAAATGCATTTTTAAAATATGTTTACATCTATCTCTTTATTCTGATGTGTATATATTTTCATCTACTTTATGATTGTAAATAAATAAATCAAAATATATGAAATTCGATATTTAATAATAGCAACTATCGTTTAACAATTAATTAATAATATTTGTTATTCATTTGTACAAATAAATCTTAATGCAGTGTGATTTATAATTTTTTTATAATTCAATAAAGTTATTAAATCTTAAAATGATAAAAATTTTATTAAAAAATATTTTTATTTATTTTTAAAGGTTTTAGATGATACATCAAAATTTGAAATCATTACAAACAATCGACCCCACAGGGGTCGTTATAGTAATAAAGCGCGATTGTCCGTTACTATAAAATCTGAGAAGTTAAAGTCCGATATATGCTAATATGCGGACAATTAAATTAAAATATTAAATAAAAATATGCGGAAGTTTAAATTTAAAAAAAGTTTAATTTTAAACTTTTTTAAATTTTTGATTTT